CGTAATCCTCACCGATGATGACGTAATCACTGATCCACCGTCGTCGGCCACGAGTCTCAGGGCTGGATCGGGTCACTTCCCATCAATCAGTCCCTTGTCCCCAGAAGCCAACTGTCACTTCACCACAACTATACGCGTTATCTACAAAGTACGGCTGGAGTTAGATGCCCGTGCAAGTTCCGTTACCAGACAAAATGGCGTCAATCCAACGTCGACCATTCAAAACTCGAGAGTAGATATCAGGGAAACCTTCACGACCACACGTATCACCAATGCCCCAGCTCACTAGTCCAATTAGAATGTCCTCGGTTGTATCCGTCTCTTCTAGAATGAGAGGACCCCCTGAGTCTCCAAAACAAGAGTCCTGGTTAAGAACTCCACCTGTGCACACCATACTGGAGTCAAGTGAGACATTAACAGCACACACTTCATCGCTCACGAGCTGGAGATCCACGCGCTGAAGCTCGAAAGAGTAACTGATGTTCACCTCGGAAATTGAGCCCCATCCCATTGCCGTAGTCCACGCCCCTGCTTTGAACTCGGAATCGTCAGGTGCGGCAAGCTTCACAGGCTTGAATTTGCTTGGTTTCTCTAGCTCGATTACTTCAAAGTCATTCGTGTAATTCGTATTATCGAAGTTCTCGGAGAAGTTTGGGTGGTTCATCACGGATAGGACACGAATATGCTCTCCGTCCACACTACCGTTGCGGTAATGGGATCCAATTGCCACCCAACGCATGTCGAGGCATATGCAGTGTGACACGGTGAGAACGTGGGTCGGAGAGATGAGACTATTTACGTCGAAAACCAAATTTGGTTTGTCCCTATTGTTCTGTCACTAATGGCAATATCGTTATTGTTTAAGAGTACAATGATTACACTACGGGGCCAAACAAAAACACATATTATTTGTTTTCTGATTATACATTGATTACAGTACGGGACAAATTAACGGTTGTGTACGATGATTACACAAGGGGACAAATCATTCACAGGTCGACTTCTTCACAGGACAAATCATACTGACAAGACTTTCACGGCACGGTGAATCCTCCTATGAGGATTCACGGTTCCGTGAAATCTTGTCGGAGCTGTCCATAGACAATCGTAAAAGTGCATACGCACGCAACTGCGAAAGCAAGAGCGTAAAACATGTTTTCGGTAACTTCATTTGTGACATCCCTCTGCAGTAGTTTACGAGCGAATTGAGACTAACGTGAACAAGTCACATGAAGATCTTGGCTTCGTAACCTTCACGTTGGCAACTATCGCAGACGATAGATCACACAATCACATCACTGGCCCGGTCTCCATTTCCCCCACCATTGGAGGCAACAACTTCTGCAGTGCTTCGCTAATTTCCCCAACTCACCTCCTTGTCGGAACGTACTGCGTCTCTGGCAACATCCGGTGGGCTTCGATCGGATCACACTACACCAACGGTACACGCGACGGCGAACGGATCAAGGTGGTTGCGATGATCAACCATCCAAAGAGCACAAACACGAACTTCTCGAACGATTTTGCTGTTCTCGTACTCGAGAAACCCAGTTCGTTCAAATCTGTGGCGCTCGCAGCTTTGGACGATCCCGACCTTAAGGTCGGAGAGTCAGCGGCAAAAATCGGCTGGGACGACACAGGAGGTGAAGGAACCATGGCTTATGAACCGACGAGAGAAGATGTGCAGTTAATGAGCAACGATAATTGCTTGGATGGCATGAACGTAGATGACACAATGCTATGTTCGCGGGGTATTCCTAACGTGGCATCTTGTACGGGTGCCTACAGTGGTTCTCTGGTGGTAGAGCGTCCTAGTGGTGATGTGTTGGTTGGTGTGCTTAGTTGGGGTGATGATTGTGTGTAGTATGGCCCGGGGAATTTGAAGCAACTTGAACACACGACAATGCGGGGGCCAACTCGCTCGGAATGATAGCCGAATGCATTGATGTAGTTTGCACTTGGCAAATCTAGAAGTGAGCGATACCATGGTGCTGGCACTGACCAGCCCGTTCTCGCTCAGTCACTGCCAGCCATGCATTGCCAGAGCGACGCGCAGCACTGACTGTGGACATGCATGTATTCACTTCACATGAAAGATGCACTTGACCATACAAGTTCCTCATACAGCACATGAGGACACTGTCCGTCCAAATGACTGCGAAGTCCTCAGCTGTCTAGCGTCGGACACCCCTAGGTTGTCACCCATTGTCTGCAGCGTTGCAGCTGACAGCCACATTTGGGTGACGTCGAGCAGCTGAGATGAAACCAAGCTGGAAATACCAGCCAACACTACACAGCCCCCGAAGCTTGGTTTTGCCGGATCTTGTCGAACCGGTCACCGTCACAACACACGCCCATCGAGCACTCGGTTTCCCTGGCTGCGGTCCCTACGGTGACGCCTTGATCGGCGTAGCTTACGACCGCGCGAAGGCGTTCCATCTTGCGTCGTAGCACTTATTCAGCGACCTAGAGGAAGTGGAGGCTTTGAGGCCTCGGCACCTAGGTGCGGCGCACTGTCCTTGTCCGCAGCCTGCCCCGAACTTGACTGTATCTCGGCGTGAAGACCAACTTCAGCCGATAAACC